GTCACGATCCAAACCCGCCCATATGGGTTTAGCACCGTAACCGGTCAGTAATCCGTGATTACCGAAGGCTTGCTTAACAGTAAAGACAGTAATACAGAGTACATTGGCTGACGGAAGCCAAAACATTAATAAAAGATGTCCAATGAGCTGTGATAGTCTATATGCAAAAAAGACTTTTCATACATATTCACATTCAGAACCAAAACAGGATATACATACATATACAATCATCCAGGACAGGGACCTAATCCTTATTAGAACAATACAGTACAGGTACAGTCAATCTATACAAAAACAGAGACAGAAATAATGAATCTAAACACCCCAAAAGCCCTAGCTTGAAGGACTTGGAACCTCTTAGTGAGGCATAGTGGTTGGCTTGACCAAAAAGGGAGTTAAACCCAACGCTCCTAGCTCCGATCCAATGTCTGGACACCTACATACATATATAAACAGTGAGCTAAAACCCAGTGAATAACATATGCGTAAAGAGGTTAAGAATGAATGTCCTTTCAGTATTAAAAACGGTCAGTTATAACAGTATATTAGTCATAGCAGTTATATGTGGTACATCCCATAGCAAAATAGTACAGTAGGTCTTAACAGACCAAACAGTCAGTTGATGGCCATCATATCAGTAAGCAGAAGTGGTTCCAAACATGGGAACCGACAGAGATCTCTGTGACAGTAGCAGTACAGTACAGTAACAGTAAATTGCTATGGATGCCACGAAAACAGTTCGCAAATAGGACAGGTATTCATTCAGTAAAAAATATCATTTCAGAAAGCAGTACAGTTGATCATTCAGCAATTATTCATAATTGAATATAACTTTACAACATTGTTACTCACAGAGTTCTAGGTTAGTGAGCGTCCTCGGATGCCAACCCTACACAGTTACAGGATGAACACACACTAAGTTGCACGTTTAGGAAACAATGACTTAGTCCCTATCTTGACTCAGTGTGGTTCTACATCAATATCCTCATTAAGATGCCTTAAACAAGGTCTAGGAATGCCTAGGATGAAATGAGGATGCAAAGATGTACTTTAAAACACTTTTCAAGATTTTCAGAAAACAGGGGTCTCGCTCAAGCGTGGCTTTCTACGCTCGAGCGGACATGCAGACAAAGGAACTTCGCTCGAGCGTGACTTTCCTCGCTCGAGCGGACTGCAAAAGTACTGGATGCATGAAATTCACGCTCGACGGACGCTCGACCCACGCTCGAGCGTGAGACACAAGTCCTCGCTAGAGCGTGCATTCCATCGCTCGAGCGGACTGTAAACACATACAAAGTACTGGATACACGCATTTTACGCTCGAGCGTTACTTTACTCGCTCGAGCGGACTGCACGAACTCAGAGTGTATGCTCGAGCGTGAAGTTCCTCGCTCGAGCGTGGATCCAAAATCTGGAATTTCCAGATTTGTCTCCAAGCATGAAACTCAACATTTAAAGCATCAAATTCGATCTTTTTGGGCAAATTTTCTGGAAAACACTTTAAAACTCATAATATGACATGTTTCAAAGATCAATTTGCAAAATCAAAGCCCAAAGGTAGTTCAATTGAACCCATTTCCAAACAAAACTTCAAGAACATGATGAACATGCAACATGCATGAATTTAATCAATTTCAAAACTTCCAATACATAATCCAATGAGTCAAATCTACCAAAACACATGATGAGTTCATGGACCATGGCTAGAATAAAGACATGCATGTGAGGATTTCCATGAAATCAACCTCAAAACTCAACAATGTGTACATGCATGCATGATTTCCTACTCAATTCAACATATTAAGCTAATTCATGCCTTAAATCACTATCCTTACCATGAATCATGCAAGAACAACTCAAACTCACAATTATAAGGGTGAGTCTCCTACCTCAAGTCCTCAATTTCAAGAATGGAAGCTCAATTGTACAATCTACTCTTCAATTCTTCAAGTTCTCCAAGTAATTCTCTAGATGAAACCAAACTTCTCCTCTCTCACTCTCTCTTACGGTTTGGTCTCTCAAAGATGAGCAAATGACATGAAATCAAGCTCTAGACAAGATTAACAAAGTGGTCCACTAAGTGGCATTTTGGCAAATAAGCCAGCTAATATAATTTAACATTATTTAATCCAATTTAATCATACCAAATCAAATTTCAACTAAATTTACCATAAAATCACATTAGTTCTAATTAACACAAAACACTAATCAGTTCCGGATTCGGCCGCCGATAAAGCCTTCAATTTGCAATTTAAAACATAAAACATGAACAGATCATTAGCAGTCAAACAAATAGAAATGCGTTTAAACTAATACACTTAATCAATTAGTCAGAATTTCAGTCAACCAGTCACTTAACATGCTTAATCATAGATTAGCACTAATCAGTGGTAAAAGTTATCACAGATATTGAGAGGCAAAATAAATATTTTAACTGAATAAATAAAAGTCAAATTTATTAATTTTATTTGTTTGTATATTTGATTTTCAATTTTTTTTTTGGTTATGTTACAATATAATATATAAGATATAGACAAATACCCACAACTTTCATGAAAAATATTATCTAAATTTTTGGAGGAGAGAAAATGAATGAAAGTTTTAAAAAAAAAATCAAAATTGATGAGAGAGATTATAATGGAGAGATTATGAAATATTTTTGTTATCTTCCCATTATTATTTCTAAAATTACGAAATATATCAGTCAATAGGTTTTTTTAATCTATTTTATAAATTGGAAAATCAATAATTTTAGAATGAAAGTTTGGAACTCTTAGGAGGTTCCTCATTAGAAACCTCATTTTTCTTATATAATATATGGATATAGATATTTATATTTGTTTTAGATATTTTTTTAATATACAAATTATTTTTTTGGGTCCAGCTTGTCTCAAGTTGAGATAAAGACTGGTCCCGTCCAGTTCGGCCCATGGGGCCATTTTTTTGGCCCGTTTTGATAATCCAAACCGTTCAATGTGTAGAACTCATCGAGTACTACATGCCTGTAAAAAATCACGTTGATCGGATATAAATAGCTATGTGATCAAATCAGTTTTGTATAAAAAAAATGGACGGTGAAACAATTAACGGTTGATAAAAAACTGTTTTGTTCACATAGCTATCGATATCTGATCAACGTGTTTTTTTACAGGCATATAGTACTCGACGAGTTCTACACATTGAACGGTTCAGATTATCAAAACGGAACCCATGGTGGGCCCCCATGGGCCCAACAGCATGGTCCAGTCCGATCTTGGACTGGACCAAAGCCACTGCCATTTTTTTTATATAATCTTATCACTAACCATAGTGTATAAGATAAGTTGAAAATGGTGCTGCAATAACTATGAGAGAAGCCAAAAAAAATTGTAGGTTGGGAGAAATCAATAAATGCTGAGGTTATTTATTTTTTATTTTATTTTTGTGTGGTTTCTATTTTTTTTTTTTTCAATTTATTTAAGATGGAGGTGGAGGTTTCTATTTTTTTTTTCTAATTTAATTTATCTATGGTTTCTATTTATTTATTTTTATTATTATTTAAGTAAGTTATGATGTGAGTTAGATATGTGATAGACATCTAGGTTTTATTGATTTAAAGTATGATGGTGGGAGATATTTTCAAATTCGATTTGTTTAGATAAATTTTAAAGATTTTTAAAATTGGATATTGAGATGCAAAAGAAAGATTTTAATTAAATAAATAAAAATAAAATTTATTAATTTTATCTGTTTGTATATTTGGTTTTTAGTTTTTTTTTGTTATAATATAATATATAAGATATAGATAGATATTCACAACTTTTATGAAAAATATTATTTGATCTTTTGGAAAAGAGAGAAGACAGGCAAGTTTCAATATTTTTTTTTGAAAATTATTGAGAGATACTAGGATGGAGAGATTATGAAATATTTTTTTATCTTTCTATTTGAAATTCATAAATTAAAGGATAATTATTATTTCTAAAAAAATTAAATAAATAAATTAGCCAATAGTTTTTTTAAAAAAATCTATTTTATAAATTGAAAAATCAATAATTTTAGAAAATTGATTAATTTCTCCCATCCATTAAGTGAATTAAATTTTTGATAGATATACATAAAAAAATAGATAATTATATTATTAAATCATAATTCAAATTTAGATATTGTTATATCATTTTGAGATCTATATCTAAATTCTTATCTTCTTTATTTTTGTGTAATTTTTATTTAATTTTTTTTTTCAATTTATTTTAGATGGAATTGTAGGTTTCTATTTGTTTTTTTTAAAAAAATTAATTTATCTATGGCTTCTATTTATTTTTAATTATTATTATTTAGGTAAGTTATGATGAAAGTTTATATGTGATAGATATGTGAGTTTTATTGATAAAATTTATAGATTTTTAAAATTTAAAATTGGATATTGAGAGGCAAAATAAATATTTTAACTGAATAAATAAAAATCAATTTTATTAATCTTATATTTTTGTATATCTAATTTTAGTCCTGACTTTTCAATTGTAACACATTTGACCTTAAATTTTGAATCTTGTTTCAAATAAGGACAATTAAAGATATCATTAGATTTTTAAAGGGTAAAATCATCAATTTGAAAAAATATAAACTAATTTGACAAAAACAAATCTCAAACAAATATTTATAAATTATTAAAAATTATTTCTACCCACTAACAATAAAATTATGTAAAATTGATAAATCTTTTAGATATTTATTTATTTATTTACCAAATTAATTTTTATTATTTGTTTGAATAATGATCATGTAAAATTAATTTTTAAAAATTAATCATGCAATTATTATCAATTTTACATAATTTTATCATTGGTGGAGAAAAATAATTTTAAAAAAATTAAAAATATTTTTTGACATTTATTTTTGTCAAATTAGTTTATATTTTATTAAATTGACGATTTTACCCTTGAAATTAAACAATAGTATCTTTAATTGTCCTTATTTGGAACAAGATTCAAAATTCATGACCAAATATGTCACAATTGAAAAGTCATAGACTAAAGTGATACGAATCCCAAACTATAAGGACTGTTAGTATAATTTGTCCTAAATTCAATTGCATCTATTCACGCAATTACTTATCATAAATTGTAAGAACAAATATATATATATATATATATATTCCCGAGTAAGTAGACAACAAACAATATTGATTTGAGTTCAAAACTTGTAAATGGCCTAAAAGATTTGCCCTGCCACATCCTCTGTTCCCGGCGGCACAGGACACGTGCAGACACCACCAGAAAACAAATTCCCACATGTATGTTTTATGGAAAGATTGATTACCTGAATCAATGACCATAACAATGAGCTTTAAAAATCAACTAAGAAATATTCAGAGTAAGGCCATAGAAAGATGATTCCTGGGCAAAAAACAAAAGAATTGAAACCACAATTTTGTCAGTTTGGTTGAGAATTTGAATTCAACGTGAAAATGTCAACCCAGTCAGAAGATGGCAAAAAATTGAAGTACAGCAACAGGCATAATTTAAAAGATCGGAGACAATGTGAGGGGTACACATCACTGAAGGTACCGTTATTAACAAACAAATAAAAATGAAAACAAAGAATATAAAAGGGGAACAGGGAATGTTTTTAAAAAAATGAGAAAATAATTAAGAAGAGTTACTGTAAAAAATGCATAATTAGAAAAATAAAAAATAGCAAAAGCAAAATAAATAATTTTCTTTCAAAAATTGGGCTAATTTTTATTTTGCTTTTGCTATTTATTTTGGGCTAAAGTTTAAACAATTTGCTTTTGCTATTTATTAAAATTGGGCTAAATAAACCTTGTAGGCCATGTTTGTTTGGATGGACATGAACTTAGGATTGGACTAATAGTCCAATAAAATTATTAATCCGATATTTGGTTAAACAATTGAAGTACGGACTAATTATTTTAAACTTGACTATATGGTGTTAGTTTTCAGCCTAACACGCTTGTACATTTAACCTAGCCTACTAACCCATTACAACAGATCCGCAAGGGCAATACAAAAGACTCAAGTTTTGGGATACAGAATTGCCAACACTACCCAAATCATGTAATAATTATTTTTGTGTTATACAAACTAAGATCTCAACTTTAGAGTCTTCGATATTATGACACTTGTTAAATTTAATTTTTTTTTTGATAAATACTCTTTAAATTTTAATATTATGTCCCATATTATATAGTGTATACAAAACTACAAAAAAATGGCTCCACTATGGGCCATGTAACCACGTTTACCTAAACTATATATTACACCATTGCCAAAGCATGGGCAACAATTTACATGCACATCACATCCAAGATTGTCATTATGGAAGGTAAAATTAGAATCAAGGTATCATAGCAGGCATATCTTATAATAATATCATAATATAAAAAGGTACCAATGGAGAGTCCTCTCTCCACGATATTTTTCACTACACAAATGAAACTGGAATTTTTTGGTAAAAACTTAAGATAGTAAAAGAAATTTAAGACAAGATGCGAAGAAATTTTTTTTCTTTGGACACATATACATGGAGGTGCATCAAAGCTTACCGCAAAACCCAAGTTATGAAGTGCGGGTGCAGCAACATTGTGAACAACAAGATTTAAAAGTTGCACCATGTATCTGTGTTGATAACCATTAGTCAGTTTAAAACACAAGAACATTCAAGTTGAACATAAACAAACTAAAAAAGATAATTTGGTATGGGATATAAAGATAGTATGAAATACAATGTATATAAATCTCCGATACATCATAACAAGATGTTACATGCAACACACAATGGAATTATCAGCAATGGAACTCTTCTTAGGAGTTCATTATCACATTAATATATATCTAGTTGGCTGAAGTGCCAAAAAAAATAAATAATTTGTTATGGGATATAAAGATAGTATGAAATACAATGCATATAAATATCCGATACATCATAACAAGATGTTACATGCAACACACAATGGAATATCAGCAATGGAACTCTTCTTAGGAGTTCATTATCACATTAATAGATATCTAGTTGGCTGCAGTGCCAAAAAAAATAAATACTCTAAAAATGAAAACAAACAAGCCTCAAAATAAGGTGATACATAAATAGTCACAAGACTCACAACGTTAACACTAAAAGCTAACTGTTGTAAAAGAGAAACACCAGAAGATTATTAGAGCTCCTAGCGGCAATAAAGGAAGGGAATACATCCAAGATTCAGTGTTACTAAGTAAGTACATGAATATTGCTAGGCAGTAAACAAGTTGATCACTAATATTATTCATTACATCCTACCTATCCAATCACGAAAATGAGTTATATTGAATTGAACCATCTTAATATAGTTCAAAGAAGGCCAACACGAAGAAGAAAAAAAAGTGACCAGATGTTGGATCAGATCTCATGGTGAGATCTTTATTATCATGAGTTGGCCAGTAACACACAATACACACAAAACAAAAAGTATAAAAAGAATTTAATTGAGAAAGATTACCCCAAAGAGGCAGCAAGTACTTCGGATGGAATTGAATGGGAATCAAGTCCTCTTGGTAAGCGTGCATTGCAGATTTGATCATACTGACCGCTAGACCCATCTTTTCTCTCTCCGTCTATATTTACCTACAGCATGAATGTAATATAGCTCATTTAAATCCAATAGACCAATCGTCCTAACAAGAAGTTATTGCCTATATTAATAAACAATGCCGAGAAACTTTAAAAAAAAATTCCAAATATTCTCTGCAACCCATCTTTTCTCTCTCCGTCTATATTTACCCAGAGCATGGATGCAATATAGCTCATTCAAAACCAATAGAACAATCATCCTAACGACAAGTTATTGCCTACATTAATGAACAAAGCCAACAAACTTTAATTAATAAAAAATCCAAATGCTCTCTGCAATTAATCTTAAAAATATGAAGCTGAGAAATTTGAACCTTAAGAAGAATAAAGCATGAGATGGAATCAAAAATCAACCAATAAAACAAACCAAGACAAAAAAGGACTGTGCATTTTCTTTTTCTTTTTCTTTTTTCTCTTTTTAAAGGATATTTTTGTGCAATGATCTGAAGTCAGGATAATGGTACTGTATATTCATCTCATATAATCTTAGTAATAACCATATGAATATGATGTAGCTACCTTTTTGGAATAACAACGCAACCATCTTCCACAAGCTTTTCTTTAATGTGTTGAATTTTGAACTGTATTGTTACTAAGGTGAATTACTTTGTAGTTCCTATCTAACACCATCAAAGAGCCAACAAAATGAAAGATGGAAAAGATAGGCATAGAATACAAAAGTTACTGAAAAACAATGCATAAGTTGATCATACAGCTCTTTACAGATTGAAGTCTAGGAGTCGCAGAACAAATTTGGGCTACTAACCCCAAATAGTTATAAACTTAGAACAAGGCCCCCTGAAAACTAAACGTTAATCCAAAAGGTAGACAAGATAGCCTGGATCCCATCTCAGGCAGAAGCAGGAGTTAGTTCAACTCATCCCTTCAGGGCTACCTCAGGGGAGTTATCCAGGTAATTAGTTGGTGCAAATGGAACAGGGGACTACATGTGTTCTAGGAGACAATTGTATGCCCTTTTGAGGCCCAAATTCCTTGCTGGAAAGGAAAAAAATAGAGAAAGAATGCAGAACATAATATAGATAGTTCACTTCACCTCTTAAAACAAAGTGGAGTATTTGAAAACTAAAAACAATGGACCACCAACATCGAGTTCTAAAAGGCATTCAGATTCATATTCAATTAGATACACTTGATTAATGACACCAGCACTAGAAAATTTGTCAATCTTATTAAAACATGACAAGTAACAGAAAAAATGAAGTGATAACATATTATACTTGTAGAGTAACCACTCCTTAAAGGGCTTACCCGACGTTGTGGGAACAACTTGCATATCTGTTTGATAACAACTGACCGTTTGTGAAGACGTTCCGAGGTAATGGCCATCTGCAGTTCATAAATATCCTAAGCATTAAATACAATAAAACATTAAAGACAACAACAGATTACAAATACATCCCTACACAATATCTTTTGACCTGTTGAAGAATATAATGTTTTGGTCAGGGTCAGCCTCCAGTGGAGCACAACTCATATGATAAATATCACAGATACGAGAAGTAACCAAAGCATAAAATCTGATAATGAAAAACGATATTCACGTGCCCCAAGCTCTGCGTATAGATGAGATTAGGATAGAACTTTTCCAGTTGTTTGACACGATTTCTTTCCAACTGTAACACGAAGTCCAAGACAACTAACATCACTAATGATCAAGGAATAGAATAACAACAAAAATAATATACCACAACCTTAACAATATGGATATATTGACAGATATCGCACAATATCGATATTGATTCACATAAATTGGAGAAATTAAAAAAGTATCATAAAATATTGTGGATGAGATCGACGTCTTGAAAATATGGATATGCCAATGGAATTATGAATACATTGCAAATATCATAGAAATTTTACACTATGCTTATAATAGCAAAGAAAATTCACATCATGACATAGAGAATAGTACTTATATTTTAATTAACCATATAATTACATAAATCGAATGAAAAATCTGTTACCGTAGTCCTGGCTGATTCAAGCAACTCATATTTGACTTTTAGATCATATGACATCTTCTCAACCTTACCCTTCCCTACAAAAACATCAATTAGTCTAACAAGCTCAGAACGTAAAATCTGGGCAATGCTCAACCTAAATTGCAAGCAACAGTGCAAGGTAACCAACCTTGTGAATATTGTTCTCTTCTAGATTGGAGCTTCTCCCTCAATCCTGCAAGTTTCTCATTTTGAAGCACTCTCCAACTAAGCTGATCCTCTGCCTTACCCTGATGAAGGTTAAGAAATCAAACTTGAGAAGTAAGCATGTTAACCAGGGATGCACTGGACCAGAATGAGAAAGAATTTAGATTAATTGTGCATGCCATTTTATCAAAATGCTAATGGAAAAAGCAGCAACAATGGAGTGAACAAAATCAAACTAGAATAAAAATCAAAGACACCGTATCTTAAAGGAAACCATTGAATATGAGATGATCAAATAGAAGGAGCTACACATTAAGGGTTAGATTTTTCCATTTGGGCTTTTAAAGCATATGAGATGATCAAATAGCATTTACAATAGCTGTTAAAATCCACCTACTCTCCACCTACTTCACCCACTTAAACCTACTCCACTAAACCTAACCCACTAAATCCACATACTCTCCACCTACTTCACCCACTTAAACCTACTCCACTAAACCTAACCCACTACACCACTACCACATCACCTACTCCACTAAACCTAACCCACTAAATCCACATACTCTCCACCTACTTCACCCACTTAAACCTACTCCACTAAACCTAACCCACTAAATCCACATACTCTCCACCTACTTCACCCACTTAAACCTACTCCACTAAACCACATGGTATCAGAGCAGGTTTAGAACCTAATATTTTCGCTTCCCCGGCGGGCGGCAAACTCACCTTAGCTGCCCGCCGGACCTCAATCTAGTCCGCTTATTTTCTACACATACCTTCACTCCGCTGCCAGAAAGTCATAGCTGAACTCTTCTCTGCCTCACACATATTTGTTCATCAATGGCGACATCGAGCCACCATCGTCTCCTCCTCCAAGTGTCAATCCTCCTCGGCCTTCTCGCCCTCTCCGCATTCACGGTATGGAAGAAGAACACTCCACTTCTCTACGATCTGATCGTTTCGCACTCACTCGAATGGCCATCTCTCACCGTCCATTGGCTTCCATCGCCTCCGCTACCCGTCTTCACAGATGGATTATTCGCTGTACACAAGCTGATTCTAGGGACTCATACATCTGATGATTTCCCAAACTTCCTCATGGTCGCCGATGCGCATCTCCCCTTTAATCCGGCCACGGCTCCGGTGACTGATCCCGACCACGACTCTGCGATTCCCAAGGTTGAGATAATACAAAAGATATATGTTGACGGTGAAGGGAATAGGGCACGCTGTATGTTTCAGAATCCATCTCTTGTTGCAGCGAAGACTAGTGGATCTGAAATGTATGTATTTGACTGTAGCAAACACACAATGAGTGAGAAGGGGAGGGATCTGGACATGCATTTTTTGAGCTGCTGAGGGATAGAGCATAATGGGTGTTGATCATGTTGTTGACTGTTATACCCACCACACACACACATACCCATACACAACACAACAGACACATTGGCTACACAGCACATGCTCCGCCCTAGACACACGCACACAGCACTCACCACCACACCCAGCTTTTCTTTTTTTTTATCACCCTCCAACCCCACTCAACTTTCTCTTATTTTAATATATATATATATATATCTATGTTTATTTTAATATCTTGCACATCTCTTGCACAGACCATCCTCCTCTTCTCTCTCGGGGGGATACACAGCATGATTTTAAAGAATAAAAAATCCCACTACCCAAAAGCAGCTCCTCAAACATGGCTTTAACAACAATATTAGATGCCCAACATGTGTAGTGGCGGGCCCCATCTCCAATCAAACCACTATGCAAAACCCATTGCTGGTAGTGTGCAAAAAGAAAACCCAAACTATGGGCTGGTGTTTTTGACCAAAACCGTGGACCCACAAGTGTATGCCTCCACCCATAGAAACAGATTTTCTCTCTCCCTTTAAACCCCCTCTTTTCCTTTTTTTTTTTTAATTTTAATATTGTCCACTCACTCTTCTTTTATTTAAACATAAAACCACTCTTATCTTCTTTTTTTTTTTTATTCCATTCTCCCAACACACCCAGCCTCCTCTGATTTTTACTTTCTTTATTATATATATATATATATATATGTTTATATATTATCCTACCATACCAGGCCTCAGACATCACCTCTGATTTTTCATATCTTTATTTTATTTCCTTCTACACACAAACCAAAACAACCACCAAAAAAAAAAAAAAAAAAAAAAAAAAAAAAAAAAAAAAAAAA